CACTGCCTGACTCATGAGAAGGTTATAAAGAGTGATTTGGCAATGTAAGGATGTAAGCCACAACACTTTCTTAATGTAGAACTTTTGCCTCCTGATCCAAAATGTTTGTTGAAATACAATCACATCCATATTCTAGCAAGGCTGGAAGAACAAAAGTGCAAAGAGGGGGCAGTGACTCTTCCTTTAAGAACACTTTTCGGAGGTTGTTCACACATCTCTGACTAAACTGGTGAACATTGGTTCTTTTCTCTCCTCACACAGCATGTGAGCTGTTCCTGTGACACTCGGGATTTCAGTGCGAGGAGACCTGGGTCCCCCAGTCCCAGGCTCATGGGAAGAACATCATGGCAGTACGAGAGTGATGGGGAGACTATTGATGCCTTAGCAGACAGGAAGCAGAGGAGGAACCCAGGAAGGGACCTGGGAGAGATACATCATCAGAATACGCCCTGCTTTCTCCAAGAGGCCCTGCCCCCTGCCAGTCACTACCTGCCAATAACACCATGTGACTTCATCAAGGGATGAGCCTTTCACCAAGGCTGGAGCCCTCAGAATCTAAATGTTTCTGGGAATTCCCACAATCACCCCCAGGAATGTGCTTGATTCACCCCCAAATTATTTCTTTTCTGAATAATTAACTTTTTTATTCTTAATTATGAATAGATTTGTGTCAGTGTGGGTATGTGTACATGTGAGTGTCGAGCCTTTAGATTCCAGGGTAGGGTGTCAGGTCCCCCTGAAGCTGCAGTTACAGGCAATTGTGAACTGTTTCGCATGAGTGCCAGGAACAGAACTTGGGTCCCCTTAACCACTGAGTCATCTCATGGTATTTCTTAATCCAATAAGGCTGACTATCAAAATGAACCATTACACACAGTGATGAAATTTGTAGTTGGTCAGATTTTCCTGTTTGTTTCTCTTCTTTTTTTGAGTTAGAGGCCAGGCTACCCTCTAACTCACCGTAGCTGAAGCTAATCTTGAAGTCTTTATCTTCCTACCTCAACCTGAGACAGGTATTTCAAGTGTGCACCACCATATCTCACTTAAACAGTACTGGGCAACAATCCAAGACCTTGTGTAAGGTAGTCAACCTCTTTACCAACTGAACTGTGTCCCCAGCCTACTCGGGCCACTCTTACTTCTCTTCCTCTCAGTGCTGTGGGGCAGCTACTGCTTCATGTGAGAGGTGGAGTATCTGTGACAATGAAAGCTTAAACAACTTGCCTACCACCCGAGAGCCAGGGAGTCGCAAACTGCTAGGTTCTGTGCATGTGTGTATGCGTATGTGCATGCATGTATGTGTTCAAGAGCACATGGGCCAGGCCTAGAGAAGGAAAGGCCAAGTCAAAGCTACTGTTCTTTCATGGAACCTGCTCTGAAATGAGCTCACACATCATGCTTGTGGTTCCCCGGAAAAATAACACAATCCTGCGAGCAGTCAAAGCAACAATATGTGTGCGGCTTGATATAAACCGCTGTCCTCTTCCCTCCAGGACAGCTGGCCGTACCTGGCCTAGGGCTGTCTCCTCATCCACTCCAAGGCCTTCTTCCTTCAGCGCTCTGGATCTTGGTTTATGGCATCTGCTCTGGGTGGGTCCCAGCATTCTCTGGACCTTTGTAACCTCTGGGACAGAAGAAGCCCTCACTCTCCTTCAGCTCTAGATGGAGAATGGAGATTCTTGGTTTTGTTTGTGTTTTCTTTTAGTTTTTGCCATGCTGGGGTTGCTAGACAAACTTTCAACCTCTAGGTCAAACCCTGGCCCTCCCTCCCTCCTTCCCTCCCTCCCTCCCTTCCTCCCTCTTCTCTTCCTTCCTTCCTTTCATCTTTCAGTGTTTGAAAGAGGGTCTTATGTAGCCCAGGCTGGCCTCCAGCTCACTGTCTACCCAAGGATGACTCCTGATCCTGATATCTCCAGATTCCCGTCGCTGGATGACAAGCATTGCCACCATCCTTGGCTTGTGACGAACTTCCTCTTGTTAGCTTTTCTCCTCCTCAGGCTCCTTTCTTCCCTTCCCTCTTTATTCCTCTGTATTTCTTCCTTTCCCCTCTTTCGGATCCTTCCATTCACTCCTTTCTCTTTTTTCTCTTCCCTCCTTCCTTTTCTTATTTAAGCCTCTCCACTCTTGATCATTCCTACATCTGGATCTCAACTTCCCAAGCAGTCCACTTCTAACTGGTTCACCCAACACGCCCCTTCTCCTCCCTTGCCTTGCAGCGGGTGCACGCGCGCACACACACATACACACACACGCACACACACACACACACACACACACACACACACACACACACACACCTAGGCAGGCATTCCGTCTGCTCTCATGCTGCTTTTACCTTTATGAATGATTAGGGAGACCATGGCTGACGCTGGCGGTGCCCACCACGGATCCAGCGTTCCCATGCAGGCCTCCAGGCAACAGGGCTGGGACTTAGTGCCTCTGCACTCCCTGAGCAGGACCCCCCCCACCAGATGTTGCCTCCGGGGACATGCTTTCCCCAGCCTTACAAAAGTCTCTGTAGCTGACCTGGCTGCCAGCAGTGGCAACCCGCTTGCTGCTGCTCTGTATCTAACTTCCAACTCTTCTTTCATTCTGCACTTCGAGTTGGTTCCCAGATAAACTGTGACCAGATCCTGTTCCCAGCTATGCTTCTGGGAAATGCAAGCAGCAGAGATGGATGTTAGAGAAGGTTCTAGAACTCTCAGGAGCTGGGTGCTTCAGTGTCCCCTTCAATGCCACCTTGGAATGAAACACTTGCTCCCTATAAGGACCTGTGGGCAGACCTGCTCCTTGCATGTGGCAACTGAGTGGGGAAAGGCCAGGGCATTCACCCCACTGTTCCTAGGACAGCGAGAGGTCTTGGGTGAAGTGCTTTCCCAGAATGACTCCAGGAAAGTTGGGGTGAGCTGGTCACACCAAGGATAGGTGACTGGCCCAAGGGCACACAGATTGGAATGATACAATACTGGAAGAGAACCTGGGTAGGATTAGGAAACACAACTTAAATTTTCTCCTGCTCTGCGGGCCTTTGACATGAGTGGCTTCCTGCTAGGAAGCAGTAGTCTGATACTATGAACTGCTAGGCCTTTCCCTGACAGTAAGGTGTCATAAGACCAAGCACTACAGGAAACCTTTTCCTGCTCCTTTGTCATTGTCCTCAACAGGACAGTGCAGGCATGGGTGATTTGTCTTCTGGGTGCCTGGTTGTATGACAGGGTTTCTATTGTCTTGACAATGTCCTTTCCAGGACTGGAGAGTTAGTTCCTCCTTAAGGCCCTATTCCTGCTGCTGCAGGAACCCGATGCTCTGGGTAATGAATCTTGCAGGGAGCAACTGGCCCTTCCCCAAGGGTGCATTAAGAGAACACAAGGTAGAGGCAATGTCGAGGAGTTAGCTCTGAAGACAGTGTGGCTTCCAGCAATAGCAATAGTGGGCAGTCTAGTGCTGGGGTCAGAGGGATGAAGGAAGACCCAGTTCCCAGGACCCTGCCCCGACACCACACTGAGAAGGACCACCTGTTGAAATATGAGCGGCGGGGCTGCGTCCCCAGCACCCCAGCCTCCTGCTAGCTTATGCCCGAAATAACAAAACACAAATTGTATTCTTTTAAATACTGCTTGCCCATTATATCTAGCCTCTTCTCGGCTAACTCTCGCGCCTGGACTAGCCCATTTCTAATAATGTGTGTAAGCACCCCAAGGTGCGCTTACCAGGAAGATTCTAGCCTACGTCCATCCTGGGTTGGAGCTGCCTGGGAGAGCGGAGCCTGGCATCTCTGCTCCAGAGAGCAGAGCTATCTCGTGTCTGTCTGAGGAGTCTTACCTCACTTCCTCTTCCTCCTGTTTACTCCTCCCATCTATGTTTTAACCTATCAGGGCAAGCAGTTTCTTTATTTAATTAACCAATGAAATCAACAGATTGATATATGACACTCCCACATCAAACACCCAGATGGACAGACACTATGCTAAGTCAAGTAAGCAGGCCCTGCTCAAACCAGAGTCTTCAGGGACGGGAAGAATGTATGTGTGGATCTCCTCTTGTCTGCAGGGGAATAGATTCCTGGACCCCAGTGGTTACTCAAGACTGCAGATAGAGCCCTGGCCATGAGCTTCATGGTATCTGCCATAGCCTATTCAATAACCATGCCAACAATCAAGTGACTAAGGTTGGTGGCAGTTATAGAGCAGATACACCTGGCAAAGGAAGGTCTCCTGTACAGAGGGGCCAGAGGGCACTATGGGGAGCGGGTCAGGATGGCTTTGTCTTCATGCTCTGGACAGTTTGTAGTGTGTGAAAGAGACGTGTCCCTGCTCTGTTTGAATAGCAATGGCAAGCCTCAGGTGAAGGTGCTGAGATTGGACTGCAGGATGTCTTTTGTAGCCCCCAAGGGAGATTTTACTCAGACAGGAATTTGGTCAGGGAAAGGTAAAGGAAAGCTAGAGACAGGCGCCAGCCTAGTACGCAGGGACAGAGAGGGAGGCTGGAGCAGTATGGGTGGGTGAGAAACACAGC